TGAAAACTGGCTTAACAAAACTATTTTTTTGTGAATTAATGATAACTTTAATAATTCAATAACATTTTCAGAAAGTTACTGGGGGTATCTGTACACTTTTATCACCACTGTCTACTCTACCATCTACATCCAATAACTCATAGTTTTAATAAAAGATGCCAATAACAATCATTAACATATGCTGTTTGTTGGCTCTATTTGGCAGAAAGTAGTTCTCTCTGCATGGTATCTTTCAAAAGTTACTACTCACTAAAAACTTGATTTTCTTCAGACTAAATGTGTTGGAACTATTAATATGATCAGCCAATCGACCAGGTGTTGCTATGACAACATGTGGTTTATCAGCAAGATCCATCCCTTGGCGCATGACATCTACAAAAAAAACATAGAATGCACATGGTTGGCAAAAAACATAGAGAAACTATTGAAGCCTTACCAACAAATAATTAAATCTGGGAACAAGGGTTTCATAACTAGAAAATTCCAGCAGTTATTATTGTAAGCTATTTGTTCAAGCCAAGTCGTACCTGCCACACACTGCCCGACCCACCCCATCTAAACACATCCAGTAATGGCAATTGATTGATCAGAAAACGCCCCACCCCCCACTTTTGATCAATCTTTATATACAGGGTTACATTCAGCAAAGCGCCCACCCTTTCAAAATGCCACTAATTTCAAACTTGGTCTGAGTTAAGGACCCTGGGCGCTAACGCGATGAGAACGGTATATTTAGCTTTCGCTAAAACCAAACCAAAACGTAGACTAATGATACAAACTGTCTATATAACTGGCTGTATGGTGCAATGCATTCTGGGAATTACAGTCAAACATCGCAAGAGGACACTCATAAATATAACCACAGATCAAGCATAATGAAAAAAGTGAACAAAACTAAGACTTCTAGCCTTGCTCGAACTGATTACAAGACCAGTTACTAAAATATTGCCATCAATTGTACCATGAACATTTTCACTAATTGTCATATTCAAATTAAAGAAGATAAGATTTGTTGTCAGTCAACAATACTATTTTTTTCATAATTTTCAGTTGAACTCAAGCAACTTACCTCTACCTCCAATGATAACAGCATCTTTCAAACCTATTGGTTTACCCAATATTCTAAATTGTTCTGCAATCTGGAAGGCTAATTCCCTGCAAGTAAATGGACAGACAGCAAGGCAAAACATGCACCTTTGAATCAAATCTGTAAATGTATGTTTGAGAATCACTGAGAGATTAAATGAATGAACGAACGGACAGACAGATGGACAGACAGACAAATTGTGCTGAGAAGTGATTACAAATTCTCATATTGAATACTGTAAAGGGGGTAATTATTCACTGGGTTTTAATTTAGCTTATTTCGCTGACTGGAAAATGCGCTAAATTAAAACCCAGTGAATATGTAAAATTTAGCATAGAACACATTATCTAAATGACGAAACCGCGAATTTAAAACCCACTGAATATGCCTGAAATGGTAAATCAGTGAAATTTAAACCCAGTGAAAATTAGTCATTTTACAGTACAAACTAAAACCTTCTATCGAACTTTTGAAATGTCCTTATGAAATTTTCACTTTCAAATCAATTAAAACTAAATTAATGATTACATACAGTGATAAAATGTTCTGCTGTTTCATTGCCAAGTATTACAAACAACTATTCACTTCAAACTTTTTCTTGATTGTTGCCATTTGCGGCAAACATCACCAATGACGAATGGGGTACCATGCTCAAATAAACAATTCGCACACTTACCGTGTTGGAGTCAAAACAAGTGCATATATACCATAGGGATCTTCACAAAGTTTTTGCAATATTGGTAAAGCAAAAGCAGCCGTCTTACCACTACCAGTTTTAGCACACCCTAAACAGTCAACACCTATTAAATAACAGAATATACATATAAATGGATTGTTACAGGATTTACTCTATTTCTTCGGTAGAAATGATGGATTTGAAAAAGCAGTAAAAAGAAACCAAAGTTTGCTGGAATCATCCGATAAATACTGTGGATCTAATGCTACCCAAAGTCAAACCCCGAGACTACAACCCCCAGTTTAATTGTGTACATGTCCCTCTAACTTGTATTCAAGGCTGGGACGCTGGAGGAGAACGCCATTAAATAAGATAAATTCAAAATATATTAATGTAAAAATGTGTTTTAGCTAGCATAGAGCTAATCCAAGATTCTGCTGATTTAAAATAAAGTATCTTCTCATAATAAGACTGTTGTGACTTTAGCTATTAAAATTAAAGCGGGGGACTAGTCACCTGCGCATGCGCCAGATGGCCATAGCGTGTCATTGTTTACAAACAAGCATCTATCCATGAGCCTTTGCATTTTTAGCGTGTGTTGTTATTGTCGCTTGGGACTCAATTCCCGCGCATGCACAGGTGACGACCCTCCCACTTTAAGACTGTTATTCATGCATTCAAATGGTAGCAGGTCAACTCGACCCCCATACAAGTGTAGGTAGTGTCCATATGTTTGTGTCGGTGACACACTGCTTTGTCGATTTCACCGACTTGTGTGGTTAATGGTAGTACGTTGTCGATTTCACTAACTTACGCTAATACCTACATAGGTGGCCCCAACGTACACTAAAGCAAGCGAACAAACAACATGGTGATTTCGTTCTATTAAAAAAAACTTCTCAAATGACGTGTGGTCCATTCAGCTTGCTATAAGATTTCAATAGATTCGTTGCATCTATTTCACGATCGTTATACTTTTCCCATAGATCAAATAAGCAGGCATTAAGGCTTCTGTAGATTTTTCTCTGGTAACGTCTGAGTTTGTCATCCCTCACGAGCTTCACATGTATACTGGTTAGCAGAGCATCTTCATGGAGGAGTGGGATAATAACATAATTGGAGACCACTACGCCCGGCTTTACCATTTAATTTTCGATGTCAGCCTTCAACGTCGTTATTGGTGCGGATATATATTTTTCATGAAAATACTCCATGAAGTATTCATGGTCCATGTTTTTCTAATATATTCTACCAGTCTACCCAGATTTGGTATTGCTGCATCCTTTAGCACTGTAAACGTTACAGAAATGCGTTCGTGTGGATGATAAGGGAATGCCATCAACTGTTTGATAGTTTTACCACAGTCACTTAGTTTGTATTTGTATTCAGTTGTCAAACCATATTGCCTCACAGGCGCTCGATATGTTTCTGTGATAATAAAAGAAATATACAATAGGGGTCGAGAGACCGCTCGGTCATAATGGTTACAGGGCCAGGCGATCTATCGACCCCTTTTGTATATTTCTTTTATTATCACAAAAACGTACCGAGCGCCTGTGGGGTAGAGTTGACCAGAAGCTCATTCAAATAAACTAAATCAGTACGTTATGTCACATTTAACGGCGAGGTAAAACATAATTGACTGTTATTAGTAGCGACGCCTTAACAGCTGACTCCATAGACGTTGGTCGATGACACGTGCATTTGTTTTGGCACGCTTGGCCAACAATCATACAGGAAATAGTCGTTACAAGACTTACCTTCAAGAATTTGGGGTATACAGTAGTATTGTATAGGTGTTGGTTTTGTAATACCAACAGCTTTACACTGTTTCACCAACCAGTCATTCAGTCCTAAGCTGGAAAATTTCGCGTTCACACCATCTTCGAGCTCAATGTCGGCCATTTTACCTTTCAATATCCGTTCAAGATGCATGCTGGGAAATTGGGCAATATCTAAGGTTGACCTTATAGGTTTCACACCATGAACATACAAACTGGACAGTGAAGTACTATTAAACTGCAATCGAAAATCGTTTTACAAAGAATGAGGAAAATTATCTTCGTAAATTAAACCAATTGTATGTGCTATTATTCTATTGTCATCCTTTATTTTGAAAAAAAAAATTAAATTCTAAAATTGGCCTTGGAAGATCATGAAAAACCATGCCAGAAACAATGGCCAAATTTAAACTTTGCCCACATGTGTGCAATGTATCATGGGAAATAAATAGTGTATTGTATAGAACTTAATTCATTCAATGGTACCAAACTACCAGGAAGTGTCATTGATAGCAAGACTTATTTTTTTACCCATCAAATAGCACTCTGTTTTCTATTCATTGTGACCACTATTCCACTGACGTATGTAAAGATGGTATTTGCAATGGAATGCGATGCGATGGCGAGAGAAAGGAACACTACTTGGGTGCAAAAGTGATGTGACTGACAATTTCAATGAGGACTCAGCGGCCACCAAACATCTATTTTTATTTCACTCGCTGTATCCTAAAGAAATGAACCTATTTTTCATTTCAAGCTATAAAATTACCAACTACTGCACATCAGTGTGACCTTATGTCACAACTGATATTTTCACAATCATTTTTTCAACAAACTTTCACAAAATCATCAGAAACGACTACACTACACTTCTGCTGCGACTGAAATTATTTTGGAAGAAAATCCATCGACAAGACACAACACTAAAAAAATACAAGCTTTAATCATCAATTTTATTCAATTCCTTCAAAAAGTGATGCACTGACAAGTTGTACCTCTTATTGGCAGATTAAAATAGGATTTTTTTTTAATTGCCTTTCTGAAGAAAATGCTGACAGTACAGATCAAAGAATACTCCATGATTATTATATAGATAGTATGTTGAGAGCACCAGACATGAATCTGTGATTGGGGGGGGGGGGGGGGGGAATTACCCAAGGGCACAGTGAAAATATGTGCAATAAATTGCACTTTTATAAATGAATTGAAGTGATACAAATTATATATGGCACAAATAATGGTAACATTTAAGCAGCTACCGGTACTTATTTCATCAATACAAAAACGTGACAAACTTCATACAATATTGCAAACATTGACTTCAATCCTCGTGCAGCACTTGTTCAAATTTGATCGACATAAACAATACTTTTATACGAGTTGTATACATGTCATATAAGACTTGTGTTAAACAGCGTGATTCAAGTAATTTATTATTACCGGTAAATGACTAGACAAAGTGTTCAAATAAGAACAACAACTTGTTTTGTTACAGCTTTGGGAATCTCGCTGTATGAATGCAGTATACTAAAATACAAAACAGCTAACGACATTGCCACTATGACACACATCTGTCGGTTTGTGGTTATTGTTTACTTTTGTCTGAATTTAGCGACTTTATGAATAATATCATGATTCAATGCTTTGTGTTGTTGGTAATAATCAAGTAACAGTAATCAATACAACTATTTTAAACCATTCCAGCTGAAAATTAGAGTGCATTTGAATAACTACACATTGAAAACATTTTAAATTCATCAAATGTACAAGAGCAATGAGTAGTCCTGTATACGAGAACAAATATTTAAGTTTCTGATTATCACACATGTCATTTTAAAATTTCAGAAGTTTTCTAAAAATCATAATAAAAGCACAAATTTTGAAAACAATTGACCAAAATTTAATTTTTTTTGGTCTTAACAGCAAACCAGACACAAAGCCACAAATTTGATTAGTTCTAATAACCACAGGATTTGAAAACAAAAATTTGATTGATTCAAATAGCCATGGAAGCTGAATATAATTATAATTTGATGATTTCAATATCCACAAAATATGAAAACAATAATTTTATTAGTTCAAAAACCCATGGAATTTGAATACAATAATTTGTTTGCTTCAAATAGCCATAGAATTTGAATACAATAATTTGATTGGTTCAAATAGTTATGGAATTTGAAAAGACATCAATAACTGATTGCCCCTTAAAATGGCTTAAGTTATCTATTGCGAACATGACTGTGACATACAGTGAACTTTGAGAAAAAAATGATGTGTAGTATCTTTTATAAACATGCTTTAGCTCTACTGTCCATTTTCTAAGAAAAATGATAATGTATGTTTTCTTGGAAATTCTGTTTTAAAAATGGTCAGCAAATTATGGCTGATAAAAGTCTATAAATGCATAAAACCCATCTGATCAGCTGTTATAATGCACAATTTTGAGATGTTGTTTAAACATATTAAAGCAAAAGTCAGCGCTGTAACTGATTTGGTTTTTGAGTGTGGAGTTGAATTAAAGAATCTACTAGCATGGAACAAGGATTGTATTTCTTATATAAGCAACAGGATGATGAAGCACACAGAGTGTAACCCCTTGAGTGTTTTAATTTTTCTCAACAACATTTGGGCACAAAATTTTGACTATATATGTATGTATTTGTCTATAATTTGTTGGATAACTTCGGACTATCCTGGCATAATTGGCTACAAGTCTTGATCAATTTGTGGTGATGCTAAAAGTTGACTTGGGTGCTCAAATAATGGAAACTGACACCACCTTTATTTTGTTTCATATTGTGTCATGTCTTTGTTATTTTGGATGCAGGAATTCATTGCTTAAATGTCACAAGAGAGATTTATTACAATAAGTTTAATTCACCTTAGCTAAAACAATGAAGCATCATTTGTTAATGTATTACGTATGTAGCATATATTGAGTGAAGGCAAAGATATATTTAGGAATTCATGTCATTGAAAACTAAGGTTTACATCTTCCAGTGAATCGTGGATACAAACAAACGTCTCTAATGTGAGGTCTGTTTAAAAGCCATGTCAAGAATCTTTCTAATCCTAATCCATAACCACCATGAGGACAGGAACCATATTTGCGCTGTGAAAAGAAAAAATAATAACAATTAAATACCTTGCACATCACGTACTGAAAACAATTTCAACTGCTAGAAATTTTCAAAATTTTATGACATTCAGGAAGACAACATTTTTGTTGAAATTCACTCAACTCTGTAATGTAGGACCACCAGAGAAATTGTCACTGTGACAAAATTTAGCGATTCCAATTGACTCGCGAAATTTTCAAAACAAAAAAATAAATTGGTTGACAGTTTTCATAAATGTGTTCAGATGTGTGTAAACCACCAAATTATTTTATTAACACCAAATGTATTACTATGTTGAGGCTATTCTGTCAAATACTACTACTGTCAAATAATTTTATTTTCAGAGAAAATAAAATCCAGCGAATATACCTTTTTACTTATACTTTACATTTAAATCATCAAAAAGACTTTTTTACTTTATTTAAGTTTAAGAATTGCAACAATCAAATGGAAAATGACAATTTATATTGAACAAGTCTCCATGGCAACACAAGATGAAGGATGGTATGGAGCAATGCATAGTAGCATACCTGATCTGTGTACCAGTAATATGGTGTGGGATCAATTCCCTCTCTTTTATACCCGGCTAATAACTCCTCATTGTCCCATATCCTCATAGATCCACCAACAATCTCACCCACATTAGGCATTAATAAGTCAACCTATAATATAATATTTTACAAGTCAGTGATATTATGCAAATATTATGCAAATTTTACTACCACAGTGGTTTAAATTACTGGGAAGAACACTACAGTGATACGAGTGATAGAACTTCCTAGATAGTTTTACCCATAATGCAGTGGGTTCATAGACTCTACAATCTGTTCATGACAACAATGAACGTATTCATTCAAACAAGCAGCCTATCGGCCGAGATAGCTCCGCTGTTAGCAATGCACATTTCAATTAAAGAACTGAAGACATCATTAGACAATGAACAATATGTATAGTATCAAAGCAATCGGACTTACAGTTTTTAACAAGAAGTCGAAAATATCACTTTCTACCAAAAATGACAAAAATATTCACCAAAATTTGAGAATTGAAGATATCATCACAAAATGAACAAATCTGAGAAAGGTCTACATGTAGTATCTATATATGCAATATCAAAGCAATTGAACTATTGGTTTTTAACAAGAAGTCGTAAATATCACTTTTTACCAAAAATGACAAAAATATTCACCAAAATTAGAGAATTGAAGATATCAACATGAAATGAACAAACCTAAGAGAGGTCTACCCAAGGTACCTATACACCAAGTATCAAAGCATTCAGGCTTGTAGTTTTCAAGAAGAAGTCGAAAAAGTAAAACATTGACACGGACGACGACGACGACGGACAATCACTCATATGATAAGCTCCGCTCGACAAAGTCGACAGTGGAGCTAAAAAGATAAAATAATCATTTTCCATTTATGACATGCCCATGATGTTGATTTGGGAGAATTCTGTTTATATCTGTAAACAATTCCAGTAGTCAATATTGTAGACAGTTCAGATTTCAAGTTACATTATTTATAAAAATGTTTTTTTCACCAATGTTGGAAACAAATTATGCAGCTTTGATTTGTGAAAGGTGGCTCACCGGTTTGGTGCTCCAAGAGTCAATATAAAACATGACTAGAATTGACAACAATTCAAACAAAGAAAATTTGGGTTTCTATTAGCCTCAAACTATTAAGCACACACACTAAAACTTTATTACAGAAATGTTTATTTGGTTTCTGATACTCAGTACAGTGATGCCTGTGATTGGAAACGGATACTAGGATGTTAACATTTGTACAAATCAACTTACCGATTCAGTAACTTTGCGATTTTCTGGACATCTGAACATGTAGAATGACTTGATTTCAGTAGGAAATCTACATAAGAATATAGGCTAAAAGAAAAACGAAATGAATAGTTACAAACAATGTTTATACCTCATAGAAATGATAGAGGCTATTGTAGAGGACCCACACATTCTTGTATTTTCTTCACAATTTGAGTTCTTTGAACTTTTAAAAATTGTCATCCACCCAACCGAAAATTTCAAGCTCTGGTTAATATGGGGGTTCAGAAACATTTAGTGAACTGTAATATTCACAACTCTCTTTGTTCCTCTCTCCATCCCTCTCCAAGTTTATCTATCCCTCTCTCTATCCCTCTCCTAGTTTATCTGTCCCTCTGTCTGTCTGTCCCTCTGTCTGTTCGTCCGACCATCTGTCCCTCTGTCTGTTCGTCCGACCATCCATCTGTATATCTATCCACCCCTTTCCTTCTTCTCCTCCACTCTACACAGCAAGAAAAAAAATCCATAGCTGTACCTCGTTTATTTGATCTGTCATTTTTCTTTCTGGCATCTCTGGAATGTCCTGTAAATAAACAATAATTTATCATTTACTGGTATTATTTATATTTATTTGCTAATTTTTTCATTCATTCATTCATTCATCTGTGGAGGATTTCAGCAGGTGATTCATACAGTAAGAACTAATTTTTGTCAGAATGAACAACTATTACATTTACTAGTTGATTATAGACTATTAAGCAGTCATGTTTTTTACTGTAACAAACCAATATGTCAAACATTCGCATACTACCCCGGTACTTGCGAGTGAGAATGTACTTTGCATAACAGCCCCCTCTGGTGGCAACAATATATTTATTTTCATCAAATTCAAACAGAAAGTAGAAAACTTCTTTAAAGTTTTAATATAAAATTTCTAACGATGAAAGTTTTGTTTGTTAAAAAAAAAAAGTAGCCACAAACATCATTTAATTTAGTCAAAAGTTATACTGAAATAATTGTTACAAACCTCTCCGAATTCATAATAAGTGTCATCTTCTTTCTTGATTTCATGTTCTCGAAGATATACTATTGCTTCACTGTAATTCATTCTCTTGAAAGGACGCTTGGGAGGTTTGAATTCCTGAAAAAATTAATCAGACCAATAGTAACCATGGTAATAGTTGCTATTTGTATTCCCAACTTCATATTTGCCTATAACTGGATGAAAATCAGGTTCCTATTGAAATCATTCATAATAATGTTAACCTAAATATTGTTTTTTAAATTTGCATGTTTACATAATATACAGCAGATCTTTGGCAAATTCCAGCGCATACAACTGATTTTAATATAAAGCTACAATATTTAACAGAACATCGGAAAGCATCATGATTGACAGTTGTGCCAGGATGCAAGAAAATATTGCAAGTATGATGTATTAACAGTTATGCTGGGACGCACAAAAATCGCAAACATTATGTAATGACGGTTGTGCAGAGATGCACGAATATCAAAAACGCGATGTATTAATGGTTATACAGGGACACACAAACATCACAAGCATGAGAGTATTGATGTTTATGTTGGAAACTATAAATCTACATACATTCTACTTACTGGATGTAATTCTTTAATCAGTTGACCTACTGGTGAGTTCAGTGCACGTTCTACCACATCGCATACGAGCGATTCAATCCGATTTAACAGGTCATCGAAACATATAAAAGAACATTCAGCTTCAACGTGTGTATACCTGCAGTAATTTGAATAATATGGTATGTCCATGATTAAAACATAGCTCTCAATAGACCATTTTCTGTTCACTGCGAGAATCACACGTTATGCGTGAAATTGAATGTAAAACCAGGACAAACAAAGGTCATAGCATCATAGTGGCGCCAAACATCGCGTGGGATTCGACAAACGCGAAATATTTTGGGGGGCATTTCCATAATAAGATAATGTGCTGTACACATTTGATGATAGACAATTTCGATTACCGGTAAGTAAGGGTATTCGGAAGGAACATTCCTCTGTCTAAGATCGACCGGTCGATTTGAGCTACGAAATAAAGAAATTATAGTTCAAAATCAAATCGTTTGTTTTTTGCGACAGACGTTCGATGCACGTCTTTCATGCATCTCGCGAGATCTCACCGAAAAGTTGAACGGGAAATCACCTATTACAACAATTGGAATTACCACTCGGTAGATTCTGTAATTTTATTTGTTTTTTTCTTTTTCTTACAAGCTCCAAAGTTAATCATTAACTGGTGCATTGACTTGCTTATTTAAGAAAACTTGTTATGGAAAAAACAATAACAATTTGGTGTTCTGCTTAAAATTTAAAACTGAACATTCAAAATAGAGCATTTGAAATGTTACAAATAATTAATTGTTCAGTTTTTGATGATAGTACTTTAGTGGTATGTACATGAATATAAAACAAATTTTGACTTTAATGTACCTTTCTAATTATACATGCTAATAAAATTTGGAGATATCGAATATTATAATAAAATGTATAAAAGTGTTGTAATGTCCAGTGAAATAACAACATTTTGAGTTGAGTTTTAAATTTGGTGTTCTGCTTAAAATTTAAAACTGAACATTCAAAATAGAGCATTTGAAATGTTACAAATAATTAATTGTTCAGTTTTTGATGATAGTACTTTAGTGGTATGTACATGAATATAAAACAAATTTTGACTTTAATGTACCTTTCTAATTATACATGCTAATAAAATTTGGAGATATCGAATATTATAATAAAATGTATAAAAGGGTTGTAATGTCCGGTGAAATAACAACATTTTGAGTTGAGTTTTAAATTTGAATGTGAACTATTCCAGTTCATGGGTGCCAGTGGAAGTTGAGAACAACTGAAAGGTACAAGTCAGGCTCTTTGATACGAATGGATTGAGAGTATAGATATGAATTATTTGCCCCAAAAAATTGGTTTATTCTTTATTCTAAGCTGCAAGTTATGTTTGTATGGGCTTGATCGGCTCCGTTGTAGAGTAATACCGGTAAATAAGTCCGTATTATACATCCGTATAGATAAGTATCGTCAGTCGAGCGTTTCGGAGTTGTCAATGTATTTGTCAACACCGCCAGTCTGGGAAAATTGCAGAGATGCAAAATAGCTGCCTCCATGGGACAATGTATTGCAAAAAATAAATAAGTAAATAATCTCTTCCATAATCACACCAAAACATGCAGAGATGGTGAATATTGATTCATTTACCCAACGAACTGGTGTTGCATTCTCGCAGTGGAAGTTTGCAAAGAACATTCAGTTTTCGCGAGTCATTTCACTAGTACCAGCGAGTCCATCGTTATAATTGTATTCACGCAAGTTGACCTTTTGACATAGATTTTGATGATTAATAAATTAATTTTATTTTGAATGTTTTATAAAAAATAATAAACTTCGTTGATATATCTATTTTTAATGAACACCATACAATTGATTACAGTACCAAAATTACCTTCGTGAGAACAGTTTTAGAGTGCAGTTTTTGATTTTGAATCGTTAACTAAAACTATACAATTAATGCTATTATGCGAGAGCTTGTGGACACTCTAAAGGAGATTATTCGAATCTTCTTGGATGGAAACAGTTTGCCAGCGATCGCTAAATAAGATGGGCGAGCGTGGGCAAGAGTTCAAGGCATTGTGCGACATTTTCGTCGCACTAGTTTGGTTACGTCCAGCAAGAGCAGCGACCGACGTCGGCTAGCCTTATAATAAAACCCTTGAATTAACTGTATCTTGTTATGCATTCAAAATATCATTGTTGCAAAACATGATATTCAAAGGATACTAGTACGTGGTGACGGTACAGTGGGGAAATATTCCAAGGAAAAATTGACTGGCAATGGGACATTCCATTACGGTAAATTGAGTGCTTGACACTCGCCATGCTAATATTACTACAAATACAAGATCATGACTGCATCAAATATCAACAAACTACCAATGAACAGAATTTACAATTACTATGGCTTTTTAATATCCATTCTCAGTTTTATATTCTTATTACATTTCATTGAAGTGTTACAGCAATGTTTCATGTACCCATAAAAGCAATGGAATAGTCCAACTACGCTGTCTCAAACGGCCACACATCAAAGGCATACCACATCCCATGTTTCGATAATCGTCCAATCAAGTTCTTGGTGCTTGCAACTACATTGTATTTTTCCCCGGCTGTCACACATTCCTGTTCGCGCTCTAACACACACACCCACACCCGTAGCTATAAAACCAAAGCTGTTCATACACTTGAAACAGTCTTTGTAACTTTGACCATAACGCTAATAAGTTTCGAGATGAATGCCTTCTCGAAAGTTCGTAGATTTCAAGGTACATGTGAACCCGACCTTGTTTAACTGGCATATTATACATATTTAAAGGCCCACTAGCTGTAATGAAAACGTCTCTAACGGCA